CTGCTGTTCTAAACTCTATCACTAAAGGGCAAGTCCACTGTAGACCTGCTGTTCTAAACTCTATCACTAAAGGGCAAGTGCACTGTAGACCTGCTGTTCTAAACTCTATCACTAAAGGGCAAGTGCACTGTAGACCTGCTGTTCTAAACTCTATCACTAAAGGGCAAGTGCACTGTAGACCTGCTGTTCTAAACTCTATCACTAAAGGGCAAGTCCACTGTAGACCTGCTGTTCTAAACTCTATCACTAAAGGGCAAGTCCACTGTAGACCTGCTGTTCTAAACTCTATCACTAAAGGGCAAGTCCACTGTAGACCTGCTGTTCTAAACTCTATCACTAAAGGGCAAGTCCACTGTAGACCTGCTGTTCTAAACTCTATCACTAAAGGGCAAGTCCACTGTAGACCTGCTGTTCTAAACTCTATCACTAAAGGGCAAGTCCACTGTAGACCTGCTGTTCTAAACTCTATCACTAAAGGGCAAGTGCACTGTAGACCTGCTGTTCTAAACTCTATCACTAAAGGGCAAGTGCACTGTAGACCTGCTGTTCTAAACTCTATCACTAAAGGGCAAGTCCACTGTAGACCTGCTGTTCTAAACTCTATCACTAAAGGGCAAGTCCACTGTAGACCTGCTGTTCTAAACTCTATCACTAAAGGGCAAGTGCACTGTAGACCTGCTGTTCTAAACTCTATCACTAAAGGGCAAGTCCACTGTAGACCTGCTGTTCTAAACTATCACTAAAGGGCAAGTCCACTGTAGATCTGCTGTTCTAAACTCTTATCACTAAAGGGCAAGTGCACTGTAGACCGCTGTTCTAAACTCTATCACTAAAGGGCAAGTCCACTGTAGACCTGATTTCCTAAACTCACACATTCCATTACAGACCCCTTTCCTTTTAGCTACCCTCAGTTTGACTTCAGTTTAATTCTTAAGCCTGAAGTAATATTTAGTGGGTTTTTTTTTTATCTAATCTTAAAATGGTACCAGTTCGATGGTGCAAGGCTTAATTTGACAGTACATAAACTTACCATGTTTATAATAAAGGTATTTGAATTTCTCACAGAAGTGGGTATTGATGGCTGAACACTTCATTTCCCATTCTAGTAAGGGAAAAAGACTCTGAAACACTTTGGAATCAACAGTATCTGACAGTTGCCAAGTTTATGCTATTGATACAGTTATCCATATGCAGTATGTTATTTTAATCCAAAGGATTTTGGTTTTAGTGCCTGGTAGAGTGACTCATAGCCTTTTCAATGTGGGGTTTCTAGAATATTTTACATTTAGAATTCTCTGAGATTTTCTGTTTTATCATAGGTTAAGATTTGGAACCTGACTAAACGAAAATGTGTCCGAACGATCCAAGCGCATGAAGGTTTTGTACGAGGGATCTGCACTCGCTTTTGTGGGACTTCCTTTTTTACTGTGAGTGTCCTGTCGGCTCAGCAGTCTTTCCAGCAGGCACAGGGAGGATCTAATTGCATAAGTTATGTTCAAGTTCATTTATTTGTTCCGAGGACCTTTGGAGCTCATTAGTACAAAGGAGTTCATTAAACCTTGAAAAGTCCTACTTTTCTTTATGTAATCCAGCCTTATTACTTACTACTGTTTGCCTTTTTATAAACAAGTACTTAACTCCATTGAGCTATTATCTGAACATCGAGAAGTAGGGTCAATGGGAATTAAGGTGCAATTGATTATGTAACCTACTATGGAAAATTTTTATTGCTAAGATGAATACTTTGTATTTTATCAGTAAGGAACCACTGGAAACAGTGTGTATGGGAGAAGAATAACTATATAGAATACTTGCTGTTTCAACAATTTTGAGTATACAATTTGGTGATATTCAGTATGTTCTTATCATTGTGCCACTGTCATCGGTGTCCACTTTAGAACTTGTCGTGCTGTCCTAATACGGTATTCAATAATAGCTCCCACGCTCTCCCCTCAGCCCTAGTGACAACTAGTCCACTTTCTGTTTCTCTGAATTGCCTGTTATAGATGCCCCACATGAGAAGAATCATACGATCTTTGTATGTGCGACTTTCTCACTTAGCATGACGAAGTCAAGGTTGTCTGTGGTGTAGGATATCTGTAATCTCTTTTCTGAGGTTGCTAAGATCAGCAGTGATGCATGTATCACCATCTTTGTACCTATTCATTTACCAATGTAGTTTTAGTTTGTTCGCACCTTTTTGCTGTTATGAGTGACTGCTGTGAATATTGATGGAGTTCACCGATGGCGTTGTGACAGGTGAACAACAGATTCCCTGCTGTGCTCTGGGATGATTGCTTCAAAAGCAGTGAATGCTCAGCTGGCAGGCAGTCCTCATTGTTTGCATAGAGTAATAGGGGGCCTGCCTGGGGACTGAAACCAGGATATATTGGAGGCTTGGCGAGCCTGTCCAATGACTGAGAGGTACATGGGAAGACAGCTGTTCCTGCTGTGGAAAGGACGTCAGCGGTCACCAGCAGGCTTAGAGGAGAGGGAAGGTCTAGTGTGAGGAACTAGACTCACTGCAGGCTGTTTGAGTGAAGGGACTGTCCTTTATAGATGAGGTTCTGGGACTTAGAAGAAAAGTCAGAACTAACGTTGGTATCATCATTGCAGAACTAACGATTGAGATTATAGTATGGCATCAGTGTGAGGAAATTGTAAGTGAGCATCTAGAGGTGCCGGGGAATTGGCACTACAGAATGCCTCTGTTTAAGTAGGAAAACCTAGTAGCCATTGAGCAGACAGAACTAACTGTATGACACACTGGAAATGTCTGCCATCTGTGGTGAAGGAATTGGGTGGCAGGCTGGAGCTGCAGGCAGCTGAGACTTCTGTTCTTCGCGAGACTTTCCTCTGGCTATGTGAACTCATAAAGCAATAGTATCCCACCCACAATATTTGCGGTATGCTTTCCCTTTTTGATGGAACCAGGCACTAAGGCGAGCATTGTGTGTGCCAGACAAGGCTCTCTCGCCAGCCTCCATTCGCAACCCCGCTGTTGATTTTTTGGTGTGGTTTGCTTTTTTTTCTAAGCATTCAAAATAAATAAAGTCTTCTCTGAGTATTATTCACTTAAGTGTCCATCAACAAATAGATAAAGATTTGGTGTCTAGATGTAGTGAACACTACTCAACCATTTACATGGGTTCTAGGGACTGATCTTCTTGCTAGGTAAGTGCTCTGAGCTAGCTCCCCCAGCCCCTGCCATTTCTTTTTCAAGACAGGGTCTTACAATGTAGCCTTGGCTGTCCTGAAACTCACTGTGTAGACCAGGGTGGCCTCACTTGCATGGACCACCTGCCTCTGCCTCCTGAGAGTTGGGACTAAAAAGTGTGTGTCACTATACAGGCAAAAGAGATTTAAAAACAAAACTATCTATGTGTACGTGTGCCTTGGGTATATGTAAGTGGGCAGCATGCATTCAGGTGAGGGCAGAAGAGGGCATGGGGTCCTCTGGAGTCAGAGGCAGTTGTGAGCTGTCTGACACAGGTCCTGGAAGTCCACCCCCGCCATGCTTGACTCTTTGAGATAGGATAGTGAGCCACCGCCAAGTCACTACGTAGCCTGTATAGCCTATGTTGGCCTCGGTCTCACCATCCTTTTGCCTTTACCTTCTGAATCCTGGAATTGTAGGTGTGTGCCACAATGCCGGGCTCAAAACTTTGTAAGTGATTACCTTTATGGGCCAGTACCCATTTGTTATAATACGTGTTTCCTCCTGATTCCCGGACTTTGATCTAGTCTTATGTGTTTGCTTTACTCCCACTCTTGTTTTTGATTTTCTCTGCTTTGTGCATTTGTTACAAGTCTTTGTTGTGATAAAGTAGTAGAGAACGAAGGCATCAGTAAACGTGAAAATGAAGAGATGGGAACTGACAGCTTGGCGTTTGTGTTGACGACTCTTTGTGTCTAGGTTGGCGATGACAAAACTGTGAAGCAGTGGAGAATGGATGGGCCGGGCTGTGGGGAAGAGGAGGAGCCGCTTCACACGATATTGGGAAAGGTAACCACGACAGGCGCCAGGGCCAGCGGGGAGGGCGAGGGCTCGTAGTTGGCCTGCTCACAGTATTTAAAAGTGCCGCTCTGTGGGATTACGGCCCGTTGACGCTGGAGAGTACGAGCATCTCTTTGTGCTCATTGTAGCACAGTGGGACTTCTCTTCGGTCATGTGGAGGCCGCAGGGAGACAGTTGTCACAGGAGGCCGTGGAAGAGCTGTGTAAGACGGATGCTAGGGAGTAATGGCTGGGTTCTGTCTGGTTCGTGTCATCATAGATCTTGTGTGAAGCTCAGAGTTCCCATTAGGACTCCCATTCGTGGAGCAGTTTGTGCTCCTTGTGTAATGTCACACTCGTCACAGAGTATTCCCCAAGTGGCGGGCGCATGTTTTGTGATGCCGACGCCCTTAATGAGCAGACAGGACTGTGAAGCTAGGTTCAGCATGTGTGTCTCCCTCCTCATCGCACCATTCCGCATGCCTGTCTGTTTAGGCGCTGCTGCAGGGTTCAGCCAGCTCAGAGCACGCGTAAAGGGAGATAGGGTAGGATGTGTTACAAGATGAGAAAGTCTCCAGGTGATAACAGATTAGTCATTCAAAAAACACTTGGCTTCAGGCTGGAAAGATGGCTCACAGGTTAAGAGCACTGGCTGCTCTTCCAGAGGACCTGAGTTCAATTCCCAGCAACCACATGGTGACTCACAACCATCTGTAATGCAACCTGGTGCCCTCTTCTGGCCTGGGCAGAACACTGAATACATAATAAATAAATTAAAAAAAAATAACAGTTGGCTTCATTTTTATAATGTTTTCAGCATTATATATTTGGGGGGTTTCTGTGTTGCCTTGGCTATCCTGAAACTCGCTCTGTAGACCAGGCTGGCCACAAACTCAGAGATCCCCTGCCTCTGCCTCCCGAGTGCTGGGATTAAAGGCTGCACCACCACCATCACCATCTGACACTTTTTTGCCCCTTTTGAAGGGCTTCAAAGAAGTTTCTTTAGATTTACCCAAGGGGGAGATCCCATGATTGGTAAGGTGGCTTTTCCAGGGTGAAGTTTACATTTCACATTTGGATATGCTAACCCTGTGACTTCCCCAGATGTAGGAAGCTCAGTTGCACAGTTTGTGATAAAGGGTGGTGATAAAAGAGGAAAGACACCCCTTGAGATCTGCTGATGAAAGTGTGAGTGTGTGAGCATGTCTAACACCCTCTGCTTTCAAAGACAGTGTACACTGGCATTGATCATCACTGGAAGGACCCCGCCTTTGCCACATGTGGACAGCAAGTAGACATTTGGGATGAACAAAGAACCAACCCTATATGCTCAATGAACTGGGGATTTGACAGTATAAGCAGTGTTAAATTTAACCCCATTGAGGTATGTTGTTTTTAATCTATATTCTGTTCATTGTTTCACATGAAGTCTTAGCTCTGTTTGGGAAACATTTTAAAGGTTTTGTAGCAGCTGATAAGTTTTCCATGTTGTATCTGGGTTCTGTGAAGTCTCCTGGTTGTGAGAATAGACTCCAAATAAATACTTACCTCCTTTTGTTGTGCTTTTGAGACAGGCTTTGGTTAGCACAGCCTGGTCTTGAGCTTGTGATCCTTTTGCCTAAGCCTCTCTCTAATTTTCCACACTCGAGCTCCACAGATTATACCATTGTACCTGGAGGGGGATGCTCCTTCTCCTTGACCCTCTAGAGATCTGTGGGAATGGGCACTGCACATGCTGTTCCCATGCATAAGTCATATGGGTGCCCGTGCCTCACGCATGGCCACTCTTGGACTGCATGGTAATTACAGACGGAGGTGTTTTCTGCCCAGAAGTCTGAGTTTATTTCTAATTTCTTCTGCTCTAAGTGCAGATGTGGAGGTCAGCTGTCACACGCTGCCCATTTGTATGTGAACTTGGGAAGGGAGGCTAGCCTGGAGGCTAATGTGACCGCTGGACTCCGGACCTTTCCTTGTCTTTTTCTGGAGTGGAACGACCCTCATTGTCCCAAAGACTCAGTCAAGATGCTTTCTCTTTCAGTGTTAATTTCTGTAAGAGACAGTCCTGAAATGCGAATGTAAGAGGAGGAGGGAAGGTTAAGTCGAAGCAGCAGGGTCCAACAGTTCTCAGTGACGCTGGCGCACCGAGCGGGACGTGGGTGCTGCAGTGCAGGGTGAACTTGGGAGGCGGCAGACAAGGCCACCCTGCCGCCAGCCTGTGCCTGCGAACACTCTTCTGCATGAGGCTGCACACAGGCCTAGAGCAGGGTCGCCGGTGTGTCTGTCCATCCCACCTTACTGTACAGTGTCTTACAGAACATGAGCACACCACCCTACTGTACAGTCTTACAGAACATGAGCACACCACCCTACTGTACAGCCTTACAGAACATGAGCACACCACCCTACTGTACAGTCTTACAGAACACAATCAGACCCCCTTACTGTACAGTCTTACAGAACACAATCAGACCACCTTACTGTACAGAGTCTTACAGAACACGAGCAGACCACCCTACTGTACAGTCTTACAGAACATGAGCACACCACCCTACTGTACAGTCTTACAGAACATGAGCACACCACCCTACTGTACAGTCTTACAGAACACAATCAGACCCCCTTACTGTACAGTCTTACAGAACACGAGCAGACCCCCTTACTGTACAGTCTTACAGAACACGAGCAGACCACCTACTGTACAGTCTTACAGAACATGAGCACACCACCCTACTGTACAGTCTTACAGAACATGAGCACACCACCCTACTGTACAGTCTTACAGAACACAATCAGACCCCCTTACTGTACAGTCTTACAGAACACGAGCAGACCCCCTTACTGTACAGTCTTACAGAACACGAGCAGACCACCTACTGTACAGTCTTACAGAACATGAGCACACCACCCTACTGTACAGTCTTACAGAACACAATCAGACCCCCTTACTGTACAGTCTTACAGAACACAATCAGACCACCTTACTGTACAGTCTTACAGAACACGAGCAGACCACCTTACTGTACAGTCTTATAGAACATGAGCAGATCACCTACTGTACAGTCTTACAGAGCACGAGCAGACCACTCTACTGTACAGTCTTACAGAACACGAGCAGACCACCTTACTGTACAGAGTTACAGAACACGAGCAGACCACCCTACTGTACAGTCTTACAGAACACGAGCAGACCACCTTACTGTACAGTCTTACAGAACACGAGTAGACCACCCTACTGTACAGTCTTACAGAACACGAGCAGACCACCTACTGTACAGTCTTACAGAACATGAGCACACCACCCTACTGTACAGCCTTTCAGAACACAAGGAGACCACTCTACTGTACAGTCTTACAGAACACGAGCAGACCACCTTACTGTGCTGTCTGTGGCTGTTTCCATACCACAGTGAAAAAGTCAAATAATTGCTATGGGAACCACCTGCCCAGAAAGCCTAATATACTTTCCTTCTGGCTTTTTATGGCAAAGGTTGGCTGATTCTAGTCTTGATTCCTGGCTGAGCTGTGTGTTCCTGGGTTTTACTCCTCCATCTTCACTTTGGTGGTCATTATCAGCACAACAGTAAACACAGACAGACAGTGGTTGCTACTTTTTGAGGGGACAGACAAATATTTTGCTTTCCTGTTTTGATGAACATGTCATGAAATGTTCATCTAATGGCCAATTATAAAATCATAATTACTGGTTATGACCTATCGACTATGGTTTTCAAACTTGCCTATTTAATAGCTCTATTTGTCCACTGGCTTTGTTTTTTTTAATCTTATGAATTGACTTAGTGATAAAAGCAAATGGTGCACATGCCTCTTACCCTGTATTAAAGCTAATGGAAAGGGCGGGGCAGATTGCTGTGAACAAATAGAGTCGTTATTTCCTTTACTCATTAATAATTAATTTTCTGTTAAAATATTGAAGCCTAAAATTCTGGTTAATACTGAGGATCGCCACATTTTGCAGTGTGAAAGTTTTTATTCAGTCTAGGTGAAACTTTTTGCTGTGTTCAGATTACAGTCTTCCTTTTAGAAATTGGTAGCAAAAGTAGCAATGAAAAGCCACGAAGGTTAGGAGGTTAAGGGCACCTAGCAGAGGCTTCAGAAGCAGCTGTTGAGACGGGCTTTTGAGAAGAGTAGGACCCGAATCATGTTTTTAACATTAGTTGATGCTATGCCATTAAACTGTGTGCACACAGGAGGAGCTAGCTGGCCATACTGCTGTGTAGTAAGTCCCTTTCCCCTGCTGTTTTCAGTGAGAAGTAGCATTATTAGGTGGGAGCTAAGGGTTGTGGTGTCTGGAGCCATGGATAGGGAAGAGTGTTGTTACAGAGGGTGGGGTCAGGCACAGAGATGGCTCAGTGGCCAGCAGCCTGCTGTACAAGCATGGGGACTGAATTTGATCCCGGCACCCATGTAAAAGCTGAGCATGGTGGCGTGTCTGTAGCCTGTGTTAGGGCACCTCATATGCCACCAACTGACGCCTGAGTTCAGTTCCTGGAACCCGTATTGCAGAAGGAGAGAAGTCATTCCTGTAAAGTTGTTTCCTGATGATCACGTGCATGCACTAAATAAATAATGCGGAGAGTGATGGAGAACCCTAATTGACTTCTGGCTCCCACACACAGGCAAGACCACACACACACACCACACACGCATACACACACACACACACACACACACACACACACGCACACACAAGTGGACTCGGGGTCTACCCGATGATAGCTTATTCGCACTCAATACCAAGGATTGTCATAAGTGCTTTGTGTGTTGAAAATTGACTTAGTAAGGTGGGGTGGTACATACCTGTAATCTATGCAGTCTGGAGACCAAGACGGGAGGGTCACAAGGTTGACGCCATCCCGGACGGCATAGTGAACTAGACTGCTGTCTTTGGGGGTACACACATGGCTCAGGGGGTACAGTGCCCGCTGAGGAAGCATGAGGTCCTGAGTTGCGTCCCCAGCTTTCACATGAAAGCCGTGTGCTAGCGCATGCCCCAAGCCCCATGCTATGGAGAGCAGAGACAGGCGGCTCCCCAGAGCTTGCGATCCTGTCACAGACAGTGAGAGAGAGCAATAGAGGGAGCATTGACCTCCAATCTCCCCACGCACCTTGACTCACGTGCATACACAGGCAGACATGTACATGCACAGGACACACACACACACACACACACGGTTGGACAAAAGACAGGGCATACTTATGCAGCACCCACAAACAAAAGGAAATGTTTAACTTCTAATAAAGCAGAAAATTCGAGTGTTTAGGAAATATTGTCATATAGAGCATTTAATTGACTGCCTGATTTCATCCAGTTAAGGTACATTATCTGTCACACTACGATACTGGTATCACTTTAAAAAATAGCCTTAAATATCAAAAGTCATAAAATCAGGTACACTTTTGGCTCACTAATACCACTCCTGAAACTTTATGTTAAGGAAAAATTCAAAAGAAGAATTTAAATGGCTGGACATATTTCCTGAAGTGTTATTTATAGTAGTCAGAAGCAGTAACTTAAGTCTTATTACATTGGAGAGCAGGTAAGTAAAATACGTTGTGCTATAAATAGGACACGCTGTTGTTGCCGGTGACTGGAATACATGCATGGGATGTATGAAAACACTTGACTTAGCTGAGATTGTGGGTGACTGATTATATCCTGATAAAATGGGTTTAACATACATATTAAAGATAAATAACTTGTGCTTTGAATAGGCATGTTTGTTTCCAAGCCTGGCTTTTAACTGGTGATTGTTACGATTGTTTTTAGACGTATCTCTTGGGAAGCTGTGCTTCTGACAGGAATATCGTGCTGTATGACATGCGGCAAGCAACTCCTCTGAAAAAGGTGCGTTCCCGTCTCCTCCTCACTTGTGGGGTTGTTACGGCAGAGCCTTCTGCATAGCGGGTGGCCAGACAGAGAAACCAGTGCTGCAGCCTTGTTTTCCTCATAGAGATGTTCCTTGGCCCGGAAGGATGGCAGTGGCATTCAACTCTCCATTGACTTAGACGCCGTTTCTTTGTTGCTTCCACAATGCCAGTACATCTTAGGCATCAAATCAGTACTTGCTAAAGTGAAACTTTTCAAATGAAAGGTGTTTCGTTACATTGATTAATATGTGCTAGCTTGAGGGGGGTTAGTTATCATA